CTCTTATAAATAGAGTCTTGGAACACTAGGGGGTCACATTGATTTGGTGGTGGTGAGTTTACTGATATGTAAAATGCTATTTTAAATCTGATCTTTATTTGTCTTGGAAACATTACAAGTACAAGTCTCCTTTAATACATTAAAAAGTTACAGAAATCATAAATATTTACTCTGATGAAGAAGAGTTGGACTATGTTGATATTTTTTCCATGTGGTAATAATTCCAATGGGAAGGGTATGGAGCATTTGGATTATCCCTGCTAATGGGGGTGGTGTTTCTGGTCAGAAAATGAGTGAGAGTTTTCATTTTTTCTTCACATATTTTATGGTCACATTTCACTGCTTACTGAATCTCCCTATTGAGTTTAGCAAAATGATCAGCATTTGGGCCCATATTTTCAAGCAACCGAAGCCCTTGTTTTAATTTAGAAAAAGCTTCAATTTCTTTCACTGTAAAGCATTTTGATTACTGTTATTATCTTCATTATTTTTTCTTCATCCATTCTTTCCTCTTCAAAATCTATTAAGTCCTATTCCATCAGTTCCTCTTCGTGATAAGAGCTGTTCGACATTGCTGATATCAAATTACATGGTGCAATATCTATGTCATCAGTCGGGGACTATCTATATTACCTGAAACCAACAGGCTTATTTTCCTAAGCAGCCCTCTTCTCCATTAACAGTGCTTTAATTGAGAGTCATTAAATGTCTCTTAGGTAGACTCCTTAAGACTGCAGCTTATTGTTTTTCAGCCCACCCCTTTCTCTTTCTAATGTGCAAGTTAGATCATACTTTCTTAGTCTTTGGATACATTTTTAACATAAACACTTCAACATGATAGCCAAACTTGTGAAATTAACCTTGCTAGCACTATAGTTCTAGCTCTCTCTACTGTCCCTTGCACCCTATGTTCCAATAAAAAGAGACTAGGTGAGTTCCGTGAATTGCCATCTTGTACCATACTTGGCCTTTTCTCTACCTGGAATCTCCATTCTATCCTTTGGTAACTCCCTTTCTTCCTTTGAAACCAAGTTCATTGCAACATTTTGATTTTGCTTCCTTGATTCTTTCACTTTTTGAAGTTCCACATAGTAATCAATCCTTGGGTACAACTATTGTATTTTACATGCTGCTGCTTTTCTAAGAGATTGTCACAATTTTACAAACATTTGCTTGAGTATGTTTCCTTGATTGTGAACTTGAAGGGAGCAGTTGTGTCTTTTTTTAAAAGTATTTTTAATTTTTATTTTTATTTATTTTTAAAAATAATTTTATTAGGGACTCATACAACTCTTATCACAATACATCCATCCATCCAGTGTGTCAAGCACATTTCTACATTCGTTGCCCTCATCATTCTCAAAACATTTGCTCTCCACTTAAGTAAGCCCTTGATATCAGCTCCTCATTTTTCCCCCTTCCTTCCTGCTCCCTGCTCCCTCATGAACCCTTGATAATTTGTAAATTATTATTTTGTCTTGTCTTACACTGTCCGACAGCTCCCTTCACTCACTTTTGTTATCTGTACCCCCAAGAAGAAATTATATGTAGATCTTTATAATCAGTTCCCCCTTTCTACCCCACCTGCCCTCCACCCTCTGGTATCGCCACTCTCACCACTGGTCCTGAAGGTATCATAATTTTTAATATATATGATTACGTACATATCCTAGAATTTACTCTTAGTTGAGGGGAGATAATATAATTCTTATATTGTCAATGTATAGGTGAAATATATTCACCATCTCAGTAATGTGATCAGTTTTTTAAAGTAGCTTGTAATTTTTCATTTAAAATCTAAGAGTAAGGGAGGGTAGAGGGAGAGTGGGTAGGAAAGAGGGAACCGATTACAAGGAACTATATGTGACCTCCTGGGGGGGATGGACAACAGAAAAGTGGGTGAAGGGAGACATCGGACAGGGCAAGATATGACAAAATAATAATAATTTATAAATTATCAAGGGCTCATGAGGGAGGGGAAAAATGACCTAATGCCGGGGGTTTAAGTGGAGAGAAAATGTTTTGAGAATGATGAGGGCAATGAATGTACAAATGCGCTTTACACAATTGATGTGTGTGTGGATTGTGATAAGAGTTGTATGAGCCCCTAATAAAATGATTGATAAATAAATAAATAAAATCTAAGAGTAAATTAATATACAACCTCCACAGGGAGCAGTTACGTCTTGTACAACCTTCTTTCAACTTTTTTTTCTTTTTAAATAAAGTATACTTAGTTATAGTATTAAAGACTACATATTTAAAGTCAGCATCAACTTCTTGGTTATTTGTACTTAAGCTATATTGGGGAGAAAGAATTAAGCCTAGCTGAAATGAACCTGAACATATTTTTCTTGTGCCTCCCACCCACCTATTCCCGTGTTTTGTTGGTAATGGGAATGAAACTTGAGAAAAGCAGACTGATGACATTGAACAGGATATCTATTTTATGTATAACCTTGGGTATGGTCATGCGATCTTCAATAAAATGCAGAGATTATTTTATTTTTAGCTTTAGAGAAGAAAGGTTTTCTTTTGAAATACATCAGAGGGACATATTGCATCAAGTTTCTATAGAATAGAAAATTCACTAACTTGCAATTATAATATCTAAATAGTTGTTGAAATAAATCACCAGTCCTTTTCTCTCTGCATTGAAATTTTTAATACATATTCTATAAAAAGCTGCTATAGCATTTAACAATAAAAAGTATAATTACCTAAAGGCAGGTTATGAGCTCAGAACTTTGAGCCTAGCAAATTTTACTACCTTGTACCAAACAATTGAATATCCCAAATGACTATTTCAGCAAGTATCTTTAATGGATAAAAATTATAGGTAAGAATTTTTATGTTGTTTGAAAGGTGATGATGTGCTAAGTGTATATTAATTTATTAATCTTATGATAGGCTGTTATAATTTGAAAAATTTAGCATGCATTGTAATGATGAATTTGTAACTTGTAGAATTTTACACAGTATATTTTTCTAACTTTTTTCAGTTTGTTTTTGTAAATATTTTCACTGGTTATTACAGTTTTAACTTTCAAAGTAATACTGAAAATCAAAGCCACAAAACAAGACTAGGATCATTGTTCTTAATGCTAATGCTAGTTATAATCGGAATAACTAGCATGCTTTCTACTACTGTCTTAGGCAGTAAGTAGTGTGAAGAATAACAAAAACCTCTGGTGCAAACTTTCATTTCAGAGATATTAAAATAATTGAAATTAACAAAATACCCAGTTTCTACAGTTGGAAAGTCAGCACTACTAGTTAATACATGCTTAATGGCTTCCATCTTAATTACTGCTTAAAATTAATTTATTAAATACCATTATGTGAATGTTATTAATACTATTTTGTTATAATAATATAAGATTTTACTTTGTCATTTTCAATAGTCAGCTGAAAAGGGGAAAAATTATTTTACAAATATTTTAAAATTGTTTTATAACCAAGTTATTTCACTTAGGCTTTCCAGCTCAGTGTAAAATTATTATAAACTTAGAAATGAAAATCAATTGTAATTTTACAAATTCATTTCTAAACAATCTTAATTTCTTATGATTTCATATACATTATCCTTAAAACTAGTAGTATGTAAATCATTAAGTCAATGAAATATGCATTTTTTATTTTCTCTTTTTTATTTAGACTCTGCAAAATTAAATTCCAAAGAGTATTACAACTACTCTTCTAAATACTTAATACATACATATTTCAACTTTTGTTGCAAACTTTATTCAACTGTTTTAAATTATTGTGATAGACCACTAATATCATAGTTCTATTCAAAAAGGACACTATCTGTTTCTGTTGTTTAGCATTTTATGTTAACTAAAATATAAATAAATAACACTATACAAATAAGTTATTACTGATATCCAGCGAAGTATTAACATTTATATTTAGTATATTTAGTAAATGCTATATTTTATTAATATTTACATTTATAATCTTCTAAATGTACCTTCAGCAAATAGATTAAAAAGTGGGGCCTTTGGCAACTCTATATTTCATTGACTAACCATGAGAGTTGCTCTTAAGATGCAGGCATTTCTATCCTACTAGTTGTCTTAATTTGTCATCCATAAAATTTAAGTCAAGGATAATTTGTTGCTTATATTAAATATATTATTTCTTGACTATAGCTTTTTTAAGACTTGATAAATCACTTAACTCTTAATGACAATTCAGATCAGGTAACTGTATTACTTGGGCAAATTAAAATTTTATTATATAATATCAACAATAAGATTTAGTTACCAGCAATTTCTAAAACAAAGTCCTTTGTAAAAGCAAGGTTTTATATTTAAAAACAATTTTTACAAGATTTTCCATAGGACATATGCTTTTATTGTATAATTAATTATATAATTATGCACTATTAATAGAAGACTTGTTAATATTACAAGCTAGCAATAACTTATTTCATAGAAATTATGAAGTTTTAAAATGTTAAGTGAGCATTTGTGCTATACATGTCTTTCAAAATTCTAAATAATTTCTGTCACTTTACTGTCTCCAGAGTGAGAAAGATTATAATATTATTTGAAATGTCACCATATTGAATTTCAACATAGCTAAAATACTTCTCACTTTCTCAATCAGATCATAGTAAATACTAATGGGCCTTGTGTAAATAAACCAAAAACCTTATTTCATTACTTAAAGAGTAATACATTTTTTTTCGAGCTGTTTACTAATGTGTTATTTCATTTTACATTATACTCATCTGAGAAATATTTCTTCCATGATCTTGTTTTAAAAAGGAGATTAGTTTTAAATCGATATTCATTTATTTAGTACATTTGTTGATTCTCCTGTTCATTCTCATGTTTTAACCATAAAATATTTACTGAAGTCATGCTATAACGCTATAGCTATATTTATAAAGTATGTGATAGTTTATAGATTTGTATTTAATTATGTTTACATACAGAAAATAATTGTTTCATTTTAAATATAAAATAGTCAATATTTATTTTGTTTTAAAGAGTAAGAAATGAAGCTTCCACTGAAGAACAAGAACCTGTGTCGGAGGTAAATTTTTGTTTTACTTACTTTCCTAAAAATTTGCACATTTGAAAGTATTGTTAGGTGTGTTTTTTTCCAAACATTTTTATTTCAATATGTATGCATTAATAATAGTATTGGCATGGTAACAGTAAGAAAAATTTGTGGTGTTCATTTTTTATTTTCATTAGGTATAAAACTATCTAACCCTAAGTAAAATTGTCTGATGTTTTTGTTTTAACTAGAGCATCATATATTTCCCTTTATTTAATTCAACTAGTTAATATTGGAGATAGATTTATGATTTAAGCATTCTAAAATCAATAAAACTTTAATCATTTAGCACACTAGAAAATTAATCTTTTTAATTGGTTTAATTTTCTGGAGCAAATAAACTGTCAATGGTTTTACCAATTTTAAAGTAGAAGTACTGTGAATAAACTTAATGCATTCCAATTATTGTACACAAGTATGCTGATTATCAGAGTCAAGATTATTGTATAAATGCCATCTATCTACTCAGCAATCTAACGTGGGTGTGCACAGTACATTTTCTTGATGCCAATTTCCATTTTTTATTGGCATATAATACAATAGTTCAGTGACATCAAGAAGAGCTGTACAGTCATCACCACAATCAATTTTAGAACATCTTCTTTGTTCTTGTACCCATCGTTATTAGCTCCCCATTCCTCTCCCCGTCTTCCGCAACCTTCCCCGCCATGCTCTCAAGGAATCATTGATCCAATTAATCCAGTTACTGTCACTATAGATTTACCTACCCTAGATTTCATACACAGAAGAACATTAAAAAAAAAAAAACTACTAACAATAGCAAAGTAAAACAGATAAAAACTTCAACAGATAAGAGAGCAGCAAATATTAAAAACTAGAACAAATTAAAATATATCAAAAAGGAGATCAAATGAGAAAGTGTTAAATTTTCATCCCGCTGCATCTGCCATAATGCACTTTCCAGTGTATTTTGCTTGATAGCAGGGATATTCACATCCCTGGTCTATAGTCAGAGGGAGTTCACCAGAAGCTTCGTCCACACGTATGACCTCTTTTCTCTCTCTCTCTAAAAAAACTTTAAAAACTTTAAAATGGGTCAAAGGGAGATCATACGATAATACATTTTAACATAGCTACGTCTTCCATAGTCAAGTTTACAATGTTCTCTTTGTGCTAACAAGGCAATTCACATCCTTCATCTATGATCAGTGGAGATTCTCCAAAGGCTTAATCCATGTGTTGACCCTGTAGATGGGTTTTGGGCTTCCACTGTCAACCATAACCTTCTGCCAACCAGGTGTTCACAATTTAATGATGCCATTAAATTGGATTTAGTTGACTTCTCACTTAAATGGCTGCTTGTTTTAAGACAAGCTTTTAAGACTTCAGATGCTATTCTTTCTGACCGCCAGTCACCATATAGTTTCTTCATCATACTTTGCACCCATCTCTTCAGTGAGTTAGAGCGTCAGTCAAGGACATGTCATAAGAACTAATTATTCCTAGACTGAGGTTAGAATTAAGTACAAGCCCCAAATCCAATCATCCATCTGTGATGTATAATATGTTGCTCTGCTTCACCCTAGAGGCATCATTGTTATTTTATGTTAGAGAACATTATCAAACATCCCTCTAGGGCAGCAGTTCTCAACCTGTGGGTCGCGATCCCTTTAGGGGTTGAACGACCCTTTCACGGGTCACCTAAGACCATCGGAAAACACATATTTCAGATGGCTTTAGGACACACTCCTCTATCTGTCTCCAGGTGGGTCCATCCACATGCAGCTACACCCACATACAAGTATCCGGCGTGAAGACTGTTACCCAAGCTACACCATGCTTCAAGAAAAAATTTCATTTATTTGTCATTAGAAATAAATGTTTCACAGTATAGAATTACATCTTATTTTTGTGATTAATCACTGTGCTTTAATTATGTTCAATTTGTATTAATGAAAATACATCTTGCATATCAGATATTTACACTATAATTCATAACAGTAGCAAAATTACAGTTGTGAAGTAGCAACGAAAATAATTTTATGGTTGGGGGTCACCACAACATGATGAACTGTATTAAAGGATCGTGGCATTAGGAAGGTTGAGAACCACTGCTCTAGGGCATCATTTTCACTGCCATCAATCAGTATTAACTCCTCATACCCAATGGAACAGGGTAGAACTGCCCTGGTGAGTTTCTGAGACTGTAAATCATTCCAGGAGTGAAAATCCTCATCTTTGTCCTGGGGAGTAGCTGGTAGTTTTGAACTAATGACCTTGCAGTTAGCAGCCCAGTTCATAGCCACTAGACATTGATAGTGGCATTAGGTTAGCCAATGATACAGAATTTAAAATGCTGTTGAGAAAAGAAAATTATACAAGTATAGGCCAACTGTGAACCACAATGTATGAATTGTTAATTTGTACAGATTAAACTCTTAAGTGACTGGACACTGTTTACATAAACAATGGGGGTTGGAGATAGGGTAAAACTTTTAATAATACTCATTCACAACCACAGAGCCACCCCACCTACCAGATTAATACATGTCATAATGAAGCAACGAGGGCAGATGCCAATTTATTTTGTTTTTACTCGAGATTACCTGCCTCTCTCTGAGCATAGCAAGTCCCCCATTATTATCTGTTTAAGAGTTCTTAAGTCTGTTACAGTGAAACCTGTACAGAAGTAGCAACTTTCTCCCAGTGATTTTCTTTTTCTACAGAAATTTTTATTTTAAATACAAGCAAATAACTAGTAGATACAGGATTTTAAATTGTTTTTATTTATGGTTAAGTTTTATTGGTTTATGGGTTTGGGAGAATTTGAATAGTTCACCTACGTGATCACATTTGTATATATAGAGATGTTTGTAGGGTTCCTTGATCTTTTTAATATATGTGAGGTTTGTAATGATATCCTCTCTTCCTTGATTTAAGTAATCTGTATATTCTTTTTTCTCCTTACTGTCACATATTTTACATAAGCTATAAAACATAATACTTTGATGTTTTTTTGCTTTGATATTTATCTTGTAGAGTAATTAAAATTTTAATATTTATATTTACCTTTATTTTTACCATTTCTAGAATGCTGCTTTTTTATATATATATAGGTCTCCATTTCTACGTGATAGTACATTCCTTTTGTTTAAAGACTTTGCTTTTTCTTATTGTGTTACAGATCGGTATTAATTCTTTCCTATTTAGGTTATTTAAAATATCTTTAATTTTCATTAATGAAAGTTATATTTTGGTAGATGGAGAATTTTTTAGTTGATAGCTTTTTGTTCTTTCCGCAGTTTAAAGAAGTCATTATATTGTCTCTGGCTTACATATTTTCTGACAAGGTGTCCTACTGTGACTTCTGTTTTTGTTTCTGTGTATGTAATGCTTTTCTGTGTACATAATTGTTTTTTCTTTGGTTGGTTTCAAGAAGTTATATTCACAGATAGGAACTGGAAATACAGGGAATCCAGGGCGGATGAGCCCTACAGGACCAGTGGTGTGAGTGGTGATACTGGGAGGGTAGAGGGAGAATGGGTTGGAAAGAGGGAACCGATTACAAGGAACTATATGTGACCTCCTCCCTGGGGGACAGACAACCGAAAAGTGGGTGAAGGGAGACGTCGGACAGGGCAAGATATGACAAAATAATAATTTATAAATTATCAAGGGCTCATGAGGGAGGGGGGAGGGGGGCGGGTGAGGAAAAATGAGGACCTAATGCTGGGGGCTTAAGTGGAGAGGAAATGTTTTGAGAATGATGAGGACAATGAATGTACAACTGCGCTTTACACAATTGGTATGTATGGATTGTGATAAGAGTTTATGAGCCCCTAATAAAATGATTTAAAATATATATATATATTAATCATCTTATATATATACATATATAAGGAAAAAAGTTATATTCAGTTGTGAAATTTAGATATGTAAGTATAATTTATTTGTTTGTTCATTTATCTATTTATCTATGTTCCTTACCCTCATCGGTGTTTTCCGAGCTGTTCCTGTATGTCTAGTTCCTGGGTTCTAATTGGACATGATGGTGCTGTTCTCTAGTCTCTGGTGCACTCTTCTAACTTTTATTCCCACTCCTTATGTTTGTTTTGTTTCAGTTTGGGTAAATTCTAAAGCATTCTTTATCATACCTTTTTTTTCAGGGGGGAGGGGCTGTAATTGTCATGGATTTGTATAGTTTCTGACCCTCTGCTGAAATGTTCTCCTTTTTCATGCACATTACTCCTTTTCCTGCCAGAGCATTTAGCATGTTATTGTCAGGTGCCATCAAGTCAGTTCCAATTCCTAGCAGCTCTGTGTACACAGAACAAAATACTGCCTGGTCCGGTGCCATCATCACAATTTATAACAGGAATCACAATATGAATTGTAGTGGTTTAAGATTTTCTGTCTCATAATTTAACATGTGGGGCATAACTGAGCCGGGTTCTACTGATTGCTTTGACTTCTGAAAGTGTGTTGTTGTTGTTTTTTGCTTCTCGGTGTATCATATAATGTTTGGTTGAAACCAGACATTGGGTGTAGGACTGAGATAAATAATATGACCATCTGGAAAAGGACATGCCTTTTTTATGTCACGCAATTAGTATATAGTTTTTATCCATCTAGTCAGGTGATAACCTGGGCTTTTGTTTTATTTTTTATGGTTACCATTGATACACTACCAGCTTCAAATTCCTTCAATATTTCATTGTGATTAGGGCAGAATCCCTAGCCTAGTACAAAAGAACTACTGGCTGGAAGGTTAGGGGTTCACATATACCCTGAAACTCCAGGAAAGACAGGCCTGGCAATCTACAAATGACAATATGAAAACTTGGAACACCCTATGGAGCAGGTCAATTCTGTACACCTTGTCATCATAAGGGGTTGTGATGAGTTGGAATTGATTAGACAGTGACTAACATCCCCAACAAGGGTAGAGATGGATGGATGGGTTGGTGGAAGATGTTTCTTAATGTCTGCCTCATTTTCAGCTTTGGGCTTTC